TAGTCCTCTGCTTCTGCTCACATGTTCAAAAAAAGAAGAAAAAAAAACAGCGTTTGGGATACAGAGGAAAAATAACTATTTATTATCAATAAGCTGTTTTAAATCATCATACAAATATATATTTAAAATCAAATCTTTATTATTTTTTTGGCAGTAACATGGTGTGGGCAGATTTCTGCCTATCTCTGTCTGTGTCACACCCCTCCAGCCTGTGTATTAGAATAACAGGGAGGTGAAGCCTCCTTCAATCAAGATGCAATATCCCACCCTTCATTGTGTTTAGCTGGTTAGTGAGCATGGAGAATGAAGGAGGGAGTGGGTTATCATTTACCACTGTGCATATGCCCATATTTGTGACTCTATAGTCACATAGGCTGCTCAGATGTGATAGGGAGGAAATGCTCAGTAGATAAATACAGCAAAAACTGAGCATGTGCACTAGCTGCCAACACTGCTCTGCAGAATCCCCAGCTGCACTGGGGACATGGACAGGAGGAGGAGACAAAAAACAGCAGCATTGGCCAGGATTTTTTGCAGGATACAGAAACCAAATCCCATAGTGACTGAGTGATTATAAACAGCATGTAATACAAGAATTATTGATAGTTGTTTTTTTTAATGATGTTGGTTTAAAGTGTATCTAAAGACAGAGTAGGGAAAGAGAGGGTTCAAATCTCTATCATGTTTTTATTGTTGTCTGTGTCCCAGCTGGGGAGATTCGCCCTCTATTGTGACCATTGTCCACCCTCTATTGTGACCATGGACAGAAAGGAAGGGAAAATTTTGAGTTGTCACCTGAACAGGTATAGAGAGCATGTTTTCCAATAAGGACACTTTTTCTAGTGACTGTCTAAAGCTGGCTATAGATGGTTCTTGAATTTTGTGGCCACTGCGGTTGTACTGAAGTCGATCTACCAATGGACCTCCGCTCTACCACCCTGTCAGATTAAAAGCCGCTTGATCAGTGCTGCAGGCAACAGGTTGCAGTGCTGATCTGTGTATTCTAGCAGCAGGGGAGTCTTGTAGATTCCCAAAAAGACAGCAAATGGAAAAATCAAATTCTGTTATATACAGTGATCAGCATAAATGAGTACACCCCAACAGATTTGGCAGAAAACCTTTACTTTCCTTTCAACATTACCAACATTTTCTATGGGACACTATACTACAAAATACTACAACAAATTAATTGCAAACAAATTTGTTCATTTGCACACACAAAAAAAAGTATTTTTCCCAACAAATTCATTCAAGACCATGTTGCAAAAATGAATACACCTCAAGGAGCAAAGCTAAATTGTAAACAAAATCCTAATTAACAAGAATTCAACTACAGGTGAGTCGAATTATTCATTAAATAGGCGTCCATCAGACAGTTGATTATAAAAAGGTATTACTTAACAAAGAAAACCCCTTCCCATTCCATGCTGTCAGCAATGACACCACATGGAAGAGAAATGTCAAAAGGCCTGAGAATGAAAATAGTTTCTTTACACAAGAAAGGTGAAAGGTACATTTCATTGATGGTGTCATGAATTCACAGATGTACTGCTCTATATTGAAAGAGAAGATACTGCCATCACTCCGTGCCCTTGGTCGTCATGCACTTTTCCAACATGACAATGATCCAAAACACACATCTAAGGCCACTGTTGTATTTCTGAAGAAGAACAGGATGAAAGTGATTCAATGGCCAAGTAGGTCTCCTGATCTGAACCCAATCGAACCCCTATGGGGAATTCTGAAGAGCCAAGTTGAGCATCACTCTCCATCCAACATCCAGGCTCTAAAAGAAGTTGTTCTTGAAGAAGGAAAAAAGGTCGATGTTGCAATATGCCGCCAACTTGTTCATTCCATGCCTAGAAGACTTGGTGTTGTCCTTACAAATCATGGAGGTCATACAAAATACTAGATGTAGTAGTTTTTGTTGTGGGGTGTATTCATTTTTGCATCAACTAATTTGAGTAAAACTGAATATTTTGTAATTTAAGTTATATTACTAACCTTACTTTCATGTAATGAGCTAAACAAATGTTCTATAAAACTCAGTTTTGCCAAAATTTTGGAAATTGTTCTTTTGTTCATTGAGATATTGATATAAAAATAGATAGATATTAAAAGTCTTACTTTTCAAAAGGGGTGCACTCATTTATGCTGAGCACTGTATGTGTTATATGCATGCATTGTGTACATTAAATATAAAGAAAAGTGTTTTTTTTGTAAGAAACTACTGTGCAAATTTATTCATACTATTGTAGCCCAACCCCCTTAGGAGTTGCTGATGATTTTGGGTCCCCGTATAGTCCTGCACAGCCAGGCAACAGACATTTCCCACAAACTTGCAATCCAGAGACAGTGAACAGTTCTTGAGCTTGTTTTTTTTTATTTTAGTTTCATTAGGGGTATTTGCACTTGGATGGGGTAAGGGTGTATGGGATGCCCAAGGGAACTGCAAACTGAGGGCAACTTATTGGCAACTATATACAAGTCCAAAGACTGAACTCCTCTTCTTGGAGAGCTTTCAAGCCTCTTCTGGAGTACCATCCAAGACCCCAGATAAATTCTCTTCTTTACCCAGCTGTCTGGAGGAATCCTTGGGCAAAAGGGGGTCCAGTGCCTGCAACGTTCAAATCCACAGTCCCAAGTAGGGAGCTAATCAGGTTTCCCACCAGAGTGCTCTTTTCCTATTTTAGCTGGCCCAGGGGGGATAGCATTACTCACTCAGTCTCTTTCCTGTGGACTGGTCTAGGTAGGTGGCTGCCTGCAGGCCTTTTGTTGGGCTGGCTCCTTTCCTGGCTCCACAGGAAGTCCTCTCTCTGGGGACTGGTGAAGCTGACTCCTTTCCAAGTCCCAGCCTGCAGGTAGACCTCTTCCCACTGGGCCTTCTCCCAGGCTTCTGAATCTCAGCCTTCCTCACATCTTCCACCTAAACTCTCCTGCCTCTAAGCAGGCTCAGACACTCTTAAGGGTTGTCCTGGCCCCATGCCAAGCCTCCTACCTGGGGATTGGCCAGGATCCCTCAAGAGTGCAGACCAGCTCTTCCACACCCCCACCCACTGAGCTCTAGATACTTCTCCAAGTCTCTACATCAGGGGAGGTTATCAGTGAGCTGATCTGCAGAGCCTCTTAGTCCTGACCCAAATTTGAGCCCTCTGAATATCTCCCAGACTGCTACTCTACTGTCTAACTGACAAAATAATTAGCTAGCTCCCCCTAGCTAACTAGGAGGGTGCTGCACTAGGCTTGTCTGAAAAAGAAACTGAAATATTAAAGCCAGTTCCAGTCTACTAAATATTTAAAAGAGGTTATAACAATATTCATGGTTTAAAGACCTCAAACTCCTGGGATTTATAAACGGGACCGTCTGTAACACATCACTTGTCTTTGTTTTGGAAGCCCCTGTCCTGGAGGACCGAGGAGGATAAGTGCCCTTTTTGTCTATTTATGTTATAATACTTTCTAGGCGTGAACAAGACCATCATGCTCCATGACATATACACAACCTCACTATGTTGTCTGCAGCCATGAAGGTGTTAAAGTGTTGTGTAATTAGCTCTAGGTGAAGGTTTGCAACTTGTGCTATTTACGAAGAACCGATAAGAGTGATTACTTTCCCTCTCTAATTATTAACTGACAAATGACTTGCCTGTCTGTTTGCACATTGGACCCCCAGTCCCTGCCTCTGTTTATGGAGGCAGAGAGCCGAGTTCAGTTCTTTCCGCTAATGGGATGACATTGCAACTTTTCTAAAAACTCATTGAATTGCTTAGTCATCCTGAATGAACCAATCTAATTTATTTTCAGTTTTGTACAACTGATGTCCCAAATTGATTTTAAGAATATTAAAGCCCAACTGAACTTTCAGTTTAAATCAGCTAAATATGTTCAAGGTGCATCAAAACCAAGGGTGTGCAAAGTTTTACAGTTCATTTTCATTGGAGAACAGCCACAGCCTGAGTAGAAAAGACTGTCCACTGCCACCATGATGCAGAGCATGTAGAAGCAGTGATCTCTCTGCAGAGGTCTGACTGTCCCCCCGCCCCCCGCTGAATCAGAGCTTAGTATTCTCCAATATATCGTACAAAGCGCATCCTACCTGCTGATTGAGGAGCTCTAGCTCTGATTCTGAAGTAATTGTGTGACAGACCTCTGCCGAGAGACCACTGCTTCCACACAGAATAAAAATCCTCGTCTGCAGCATGCTGGCAGGGCCAGGCTTTTCTACACTTTGTGACAATGCTGCAGAGGACACAGGACAGTGCTGAATTTTATCAGGATCAATAGATATTTGATTCTTGCATTTGTGGAGCAGCTGTAGCAATGCTTACAGTATATTTAACAGGCAAAAAGGGAGCAAATAGGAAAAGATCATTGTTAGGGGTGTACATACACTTTAAGTTCCCCAGTTTCATTATTGTCAGAGAATAGGTTTGGCAGCCAAAATAAGGTAAATTATTATATTGTTTTTAGATTTTTGTTGTCATTATCACCCCTTTTTATACAAACCTGATTATAAAATTATTTCATTAAAGTGTTACTAACCCCACAACAGTACAATCAGTCTGTATATGCAGTAAAGAATGCTTGTTATACTCACTGTGGAACCTAAGGGGTTAATCCTCTGAATTGCATAAAACGGCTATTTGATCTTTTCTTCTCTGCCCCTCCTCTTGTTGAAATGCCCACGCTGATAAGACAGACTGAAAGTGCCCTTCTGCACATGCTCAGTTTGGTGTGTATTGCTAGAGAGGTTTTTTTTCTTGGGAGAGTGCATGTGATCAGCACAGGGCCAATTAGCACTGTCCAGACAGAGGTCAGGGGATCTCCATCCTCCTAGAGAAAACTCCTCCTACAAGCTTTAACCAGTGCTCAGCTGAAGTCACAAGACTATTATATACTGCTGATAAGAAAAGGTATTTAGCAGTTTATATTTACTAACATAATTGCACTTCCATGTTGTGTGTACTGTGGGAGACCAGATATAGTGAATGCAGTGTCCTGGGAGACCAGATATAGTGAATGCAGGGTCCGGGAGACCGGATATAGTGAATGCAGGGTCCTGGGAGACCAGATATAGTGAATGCAGGGTCCTGGGAGACCAGATATAGTGAATGCAGGGTCCTGGGAGACCAGATATAGTGAATGCAGGGTCCGGGGAGACCAGATATAGTGAATGCAGGGTCCGGGGAGACCAGATATAGTGAATGCAGGGTCCGGGGAGACCAGATATAGTGAATGCAGGGTCCAGGGGGAGACCAGATATATAGTGAATGCAGGGTCCTGGGAGACCAGATATAGTGAATGCAGGGTCCTGGGGAGACCAGATATAGTGAATGCAGGGTCCAGGGTTTAGTAACACTTTAATGTGTAATGATGCTGCATACAGTATAAAGCAGAGCTCCCCATACAGATCAGTGCTGTCTGTGGGGTTATATGTGCACTGAGGACAGGTGAAGGCAGCCAGATCTACAGCAACAAGTAGAATTTGTGGCCTAATGAGATATACCAGAACTAGAAGTATTTCATACATAATTGGGATTTGGGGTCTAACACAAAACTGCTAATCCTGTATAAAACTTACAAACTCCAGCCATACAATTTTTTGATTATCAGATATATAATGTACAACACCGTTTATGTGTTTCTGATTTTTTCTTTTTACATGCACTGTTTATAAGAGATAATTCATATTCCATGAATTTGTAAGGCTGAGGTAGGAAATATATCATATTATTGTTAATGCCCTGCCTTTATGAGTTTCAGATGGCAAAGTTGTCAGTATTTATAATGAAGTCACAGCCAATGGTGGCCTCTCCCACAGTAAACAAATACCTTGAGCAGAAATGTACCCCCCCCCCCCCCCCCCCCCCGCTGTGGACAACTGATTTGTAACCTTGAATGTGAAGTTACTGCTACAACTTGTAACAAGACAGGAATGGGGAAGTAGAAGGGGACCCCCATCCAATACAATAGTGAAGAAGTGAGAACTTTGGGTGCAGAATACTCACCAAGGCAGGTATGTAACCCAATTGATTAATCTATAGGTTATCCATACATCAGATAATGAATTGGGAGATTCAACGACCAAAACAACAATCACAATGTTCTAGATGCCAAAATAAACACTGATATGAATAAATATTGGTGGATAACTTTCAGCTTGTTGGGAAATTTTTTCATTTTCAGGAAAAGGTATTCATTCAATTAGGCATTTAGAGCTGTCTGAAAATCATGGAAGCAGGAATCCTTTAATAAAATCCTTTTCTATCAAGGACCCCTGCCATAGATCACCCAATAATGCTTCCAGACACCTCTTTTCTCCTTGTATTTGTCAAAGGAATTCAATTAATGTTATGATATAACTCTTCACTCATGGGCAATAAATTTGGCATTTACTTGATATAGAATATTTATATACAGTTGCAAGAAAAAGTATGTGAACCCCTTGGGATTAGGTGGAGTTTTGCAAATTGGGCATAAAATGTGCTCTGAAACGTCATCTAAGTCACAACAATAGAAGAACACAGTCTGCTGAACATAATACTACACAAACATTAGATGTTGCCATGGTTTAATTGCACATAACACGTAAACATTCACAGTGCAGGGAGGAAAAAGTATGTGAATCTTTGGACTTAATAACTGGTTGACACTCCTTTGGCAGCAATAACCTCAACCAAACGGATTTCCTGTAGTTGCAGATCAGACCTGCACAACGATCTGGAGTAATTTTGGACCACTCCTCTTCACAAAACTGTTTCAGTGTAGCAATATTCTTGGCATGTCTGGTGCCAAAATCACTCTCTTAAGGTCATGCCACAGCATTTCATTCGGGTTGAGGTCAGGACTCTGACTGGGCCACTTCAGAAGGGGTATTCTGTGCTTTTGCAGCCATTGTTTTGTTGAATTACTTGTATGCTTTGGGTCATTGTTCTGTTGCATCACCCATCCTCTGCAGAGCTTCAGTTGGCGGACAGATGGTCGTACGTTTTCCTGCAAAATGTCTGGATAAACTCTGGAATTCATTTTCCCATCAATGACAACAATCCAAAGTTTATTTTTAAATTAACATCCAAAGCCCCAAACCATGATGCTCCCTCCGCCATTTTTTTACAGTGGGGATGAGGTTTTGATGTTGGTGTGCTGTGCCTTTTTTTTCTCCACACATAGTGTTGTGTGTTTCTTCCCAAACAACTCAATCTTGGTTTCATCTGTCCTCAGTATATTTTGCCAGTAGTGCTGTGGAACATCCAGGTGCTCTTTTGCAAACTTCAAACGTGCTGCAATATTCTTTTTGGACAGCAATGGCTTCCTCCGTGGTGTCCTCCCATATACTCCATTCTTGTTTATTGTTTTCCTTATTGTAGATGTGTCAACAAAAATGTTAGCATGTGCCAGAGATTTCTGCAGGTCTTTAGCTGACACTCTGGGATTCTTCTTTACCTCATGCAGCATTCTGCTCTGTGCTCTTGCAGTCACTTTTACAGGACGACCACGCCTAGGAAGAGTAGCAACAGTGCTAAACTTTCTCCATTTGTAGACAGTCTGTCTTACTGTGGACACATGAACATCAAGGCTTTTGGAGATACTTTTGTAACCCTTTCCAGCTTCATGCAAGTCAACAATTCTTGATCGTAGGTCTTCTGAGAGCTCTTTTCTGCGAGGCATGGTTCACATCAGACAGTGCTTCTTGAAACCAGTAAACCCAAAACAGGTGTGTGTTTTTTAAGGGCAGGACAGCTGTCAGCAACACATCCAATATCATCACACTGATTGGAGTCAAGGTTGGCTCACTCCTGGCTCCAATTAGCTCTGGGAGAAGTCATTAAGGCTAGGGCCTCACATACTTTTTCCTCCCTGCACTGTGAATGTTTACATGTTATGTGCAATTAAACCATGGCAACATCTAATGTTTGTGTAGTATTATGTTCAGCAGACTGTGTTCTTCTATTGTTGTGACTTAGATGACGTTCAGAGCACATTTTATGCCCAATTCATGCAAAACTCCACGTAATCCCAAGGGGTTCACATACTTTTTCTTGCAACTGTATAGACACATCTGACATCTGGTTAGAAATACATGTAACCCTTCCCTTCACTATTTGAATTTGAAAAACACTTATAACGTAATAGTACATAATATTACGTGATAGTACGTACCTAATAGCGTCAGAGTAATTTCTATAGCTCTTTCAGACTTTTTTCCATATCGGAGAACTTTGCCTGATTTGCAATTAAAAATGAAGAGATATTTAACTACAAGCTTTGTAAACCAGTGTATTGTTATACAATCGTCTTTTTCCTGGTCTGCAATGTATTTTTTACAGTATCATCATGAGTCCTGAATACATCACTAGACTGAGCACAGTAGGTAAGAGGGGCAGGAGTCCAGCAGTGGTCTTAATGAGCAATTAGTTAAATTATAAAAAATGACGATCACTTCTGTGACCAGCAGAGCTGGAAGACTAGAAAAAAAGCTTCCTACTCCTAGACTCCGTTCTAAACTGTGGACTTCTAAACATCATAGTTAACTTTTAACTCAAGTCAAGTCCAATAGGACTGTTCTGCACTGAAATGTCCTTTTGGGAGTATAACATCCCGCGATGGGTGGGGCTGACTTTTAACCTGCTGAATCACTGAGTGATATCACTGCTGCTTCCATAAGCTATGAAAAACATATAACACAACAAGACAAGGCAAAATCAGGATACAGAGAGCCTAGGAGCCACCAGACAGCTTCCAACCATGTCCCAGGCTCTAGATAAATATTGTGGGTCTGTCTTCTGGGTAAGTCTCTTCATTGTATGCTGTTTTATGGGTTTTTTTTTTTATGTTTTGGGTTCCTTTTTGTAATTAAAAGTTATAATAGTTTGCAGTTTCAATTGTCTTTATATTATGTCCCACATTATTATTGGGATATAATAGATAAAAAACATAAATGTAAGTAAAATATTCTGTAAATTGTCCTTATGTTATGGTTCTACTTTAGTATTAGAATATATTACACAAGGCACCTAAATGTATATAAAATATTCTTCAAATTGCCCTTATAATATGACAAAAAGATGTGATTACTTATGCTTCTAGATCTAGAACAAAAATGCCAAATTTGTATAAAAATAGTTATATGAAAATTTTGTAGTTTTTGGCTTAGGAAGTAATTTGGAGCTTGATAAAAGACAAAAGGACCTCTATTGGAAGATAATTTATCAGTCATGTTACTTCAAAAGTATACTTTTGTTAAAATTACACTAATAACATATGTAAAATATTTTGCAAATATTCCTTATATTATGATATAAAGACGTGATTGCTTATACTTTTAGAACAACAATGTCAAATTTGAATAACAAATAGCTATATGGAAACTATCTAATTTTTCACAAATTAAGTAAATTGGGGTTTGATAGAAGTCAAAAAGACATCCGTTGGGAGTGAATTTATCAGTCGTTTTGCTTATCGGTAACCAGAAGGGATGAAAATGTAATTTTTGTTAATATTCACACTAAAAGTATTATTTCTGATTGGCGTCAGAGTCTCCGCCAGTGGCAAGCCTACCTATGAATACACTATCGTTTGGTTCAAGGAGTACTTGTAGTTATTAAATTCATAATACCAAGATAAAAAGCTGGGGAATAACTAATCAAACCCTTTTACAGTTAAACAAGTATAGTCAATTAAAAACATGGTGATTCTTTGAAGATATTTACACATTTAAATGCAAAAACTGCATTAATGTATATAGGTATATAATGCAAGCTTAGCACGTGGAAGATCTAAGCTTTTTATGGAGGAGACTCGCAGGATTAGACAAATTACCTGTTTGGTTGATTGTAACAGATGTGTTACTAGAAATAGACGTCTCTACTTTTCTTCCCTGAAGTACATATAATATTTGATTTGATTTTTTCTTTTTTTTCTTTGTATAATAAACCATTCCTGAATTTTTTTTTAAATTTAATTATAATTACTGTGTATGGAAGGACAATAAAACACACAGACGTTTAATCTTAGCTTTTTAAAGTGCACCTGGTCCAGCAAACATTTACAAAGCATTTAAAAAGCAATCTGAGTAGTTTTTTTTTAAGTCCTCAAAGCCCAACTCAAGACAAAACTTTTTTTTTGTTAAGGATGGACTGAGGTGGGATAGAACCCCTATCAGGTGTTTATTTCCATGAGTAAATCTCAAATTGAAATGCCACACCATAATGTTTTAGTCCATGTACAATTTTAATTCAACATAAAATCATATGTACAGAAAGCCAATGAGGGAGATTTACTAAAACTGGAAAGTGCAAAATCTGTTGCAGCTCTGCATAGAAACCAATCAGTTTCCAGTTTTTTTTGTCAAAGCTTAATTGAGCAAGCTGAAGTTAAAAGCTGACTGGCCAGTAAAGTTTACTAAAATGCTCCAGTTTTAGTAAATCAACCCCATTGGCTGACATGTTAAGATCTATTTGACTGTTGTGTTATGTTGTACGTACATTTTCTGTGGCTGATACCAGAATGGTGATCTATGTCAATTATCTGATATTGTCAGCTGTTTGTATATCTGTATGGACCCTTATCCACTCTTGTCCAACTCTTGAAAAGTTTACAAATAAATAAAGAATGTTTAAAAAAAAGATGGGGAACAATGTATGTGGACTTGAAAATAGGCAAGACTTTGACGCCAGAAACTCATTGGCTTTATTATTCCAATGTAAAATCAGATGGAAGGCCATACACTGTAGACGGTTTCTGGCACTAAAACTATGTCTGTGACCTCATTGGAGAGATTTCCTATCATGTGATGTCCTGATCGTAAGCGAGAAGAAGTTTTGTGTTTGTATTTTGTATTCTAATGAAAGACCTAAAAATGTTTACACATTTATTCCTGAATACTGTTAGAGAGACTTTTATATAAATTGTTAATTCACATTAATTGGGCTATTAAACAGGGCTGTTCATACTCGCTCACGTTAAAAGGAAAATTGTATCAAATGTTTATGTTAATTTTCTTTTCCTGGCACCAATCCATGGCAGCATACTACCACATCTACGCTATCATGTTGAGGCCAGGAAAGTGGAAAATTGTATCAAGTACTTACTGTAATTTTCCTTTCCTGGTGCCAATCCATGACAGCATACATGTGGTGGGAAGGTGGTAGGTGCCAGGAAAAGCTAAATGAAGATTGTGTTGAGCTCTATACTCACCGACCACTTTATTAGGTACACCTATTCAATTGCTTGGTAACACAAATTGCTAATCAACCAATCACATGGCAGCAACTCAATGCATTTAGGCATCTAGACGTGGTGAAGACGACTTGCTGAAGTTCAATCCAAGCATCAGAATGGGGAAGAATTCTTTGTTGATGTCAGAGGTCAGAGGAGAATGGGCCACTGGTTCAGCTGCGACATTCAGATGGTAGGGTCAGAATTTGGCGTAAATAACATGAAAGCATGGATCCATCCTGCTTTGTATCAACAGTTCATGCTGGTGGTGGTATAACAGTGTGGAGGATATTTTGTTGGCACTAGCAAAGGGTACCTAATGAAGTGGCTGGTGAGTGTATATAAGTTTTCCTTATCAGTTCCTAATGGGGCGGAGAAGAGTGCTCATTTGACCATCTCCCTATAAATTTAGATCAGCTCATGGGGGGAAATCACAGATGGGGGGAACAGTCACAGATGGGGTGCTGCTTTTGCGTGAGTGCTGCGTTGATGGAGTGCTAAGACGCAGGTAAACACAGCAGTTTAACTAAAGCAGGATAACTCAAGCAGCAGGAAGATACAACAACAAGAAACTCTACTGCATTCTGGACAGACTGCAAGAAAACATCATGGGAACACATCTCTTGCAAGTCTGAGTCCCTCTCCATGTACCTTTTAATATGTCCCCTCTACTCCTCCTTTTCATATTACTTTCCTGCATTCCCAAAATCTCACTTCTTTACCCGTCTGCTCCACCCCAAAACTTGTACATCTCACCCTCACTGCTACCATCTCCCTACTACTGCTCTCATCACCTCCTGCTGATACTTCACTCTCCTGCTGGCCAAAACACCAGGACTGGAAGGCATGTACACTCGTGTATATCCCACTCCCATCTTACTTTCCTCACCCTTCTTTTCCTAACCTCTGAGGATAGCTCCCCAAACCCTGGTCCTCCAGTATTTCACCCCCACACCAGGCATCCTCTTTCTTCCGGGAATAGCCGCAATCCCCTCAATTTAACATCGGTCCCCGTGCTCCCAAAAACCACCCTCGCTTTTTCATGTGTGCTTTGGAATGCCCGCTCTGTCTGTAATAAGCTCAAATCTGTCCATGACCTTTTTGTCTCCCGCTCCCTTAACTTACTAGCAATTACAGAAACTTGGCTCCAAGCAGCAGATTCTGCTTCTCCCGCAGCACTTTCCTATGGAGTCCTCATCTGGACCCACTCACCCAAACCCAGTGGTCGGAAAGGTGATGGGGTTGGTTTCCTTCTATCTCCACTGAGCACCTTTCAAGTCCTCCCTAACCCTCCCTCTCTTTCCTTCTCTTCTTTCGAGACTCACTGCATCCGGCTGTTTTCTCCCATTTCTCTGAGGATTGCAGTGATCTATTGGCCTCCTGGACCGGTGTCCCGCTTTCTTGATGATTTCTCCACCTGGCTACCCTACTTTCTCTCCTCTGAACTACCCACTATCATTCTCGGAGATTTTAACATCCCTTTGTTAATGGTAATGTCAACAACCCGGCTACATTCCAACTCTTCAGCCTAACCTCATCTTTTGCATTAGCACAATGTATACAGTCCTTTACTCACTCTGATGGGAATACATTAGACCTTGTTTTCTCCCATCTTTGCACTCCCTACAACCTCACAAACACCCCCTTTCCTCTCCCTGATCACAATTTCATCACCTTCATAGTGTCCTCATCTTCAAACACTTATCCCTCCAAGCAGCAAACAATTACCAGCAGAAACCCTCACAACTTGAACCCTGCTTCTTTCCACTCTGCAACTGACCAACTCTATGACAGAATCTCTCCCCTGTCCTGCCCTGACCTGGCCACTGCTGTCTACAACAGTTCGCTTTCATCCACATTAGATTCACTTGCTCCTCAAACAACACGAACCATCAGGCCCCGACCGTTACAACCTTGGCAGACTGACGACACTAGAAATCTTAAACGACATAGTCGTGCGCTGGAGCGATTGTGGCGTAAAACCAAATTCCAGAAAGCATTCACCCGATATAAATCTGCTTTCTTAACATACAATTTCCTCCCTTCATGCTGCCAAACAAGCCTACTTTGTCACTCTTATTAATACCTTGTCATCCAGTCCTTGTCGTCTCTTCTCTACTTTTAACTCTCTACTTTCTCCACCTCCACCCAGTACCTCACTCACGCTCACGAGATTGCAAATCATTTCAAAAACAAGATTGACGCAATGCTTAGGGGCATCGCCACTGCACAGACATCCATCCCACTTAGCATACCTTATACTAAACCTCCCTCAACACTTTCCTCTTTTGACCTTGCTACTACCGAAGAGGTCACTGAGATTTTCTCAGAAGTCCGTCTCACTACCTGCCCCCTGGATCCTGTCCCCTCACAACTACTACGGTCACCCTCTTCTTCCATCCTTTCCTACCTCACTCACACCTTCAATCTTTCCCCTCTAAAGCATACGCACATCACTCCCATACTTAAAACGCCCTCCCTGGACCCCACCAACCTGAACAACTTAAGACCCATCTTCCTGCTGCCATTTACCTCTAAACTCCTAGAACGCTTAGTCTACAATCGCCTGAGATCCCACCTCACCGACAACAACCTTCTTGACCCTTTACAGTCTGGCTTTCGCTCACTACACTCTACTGAAACTGCCCTACTAAAACTCACTAATGATCTACTAACAGGTAAAACCAATGGCCACTACTCCGTACTCTTACTACTTGACCTCTCTGCGGCTTTTGATACGGTTGACCATCCCCTCCTCCTCAAAAAACTCCACTCTCTTGGTCTCAGAGACTCTACTCTTTCCTGGTTCTCCTCCTACCTATCGCAGCGCTCCTTCAGCGTTACCTATAACCCTGCCTCCTCCTCTTCACTCCCTCTTTCTGTAGGGGTCCCTCAAGGTTCTGTCCTTGGAACCCTTCTCTTCTCCATCTACATCTCCTTCCTTGGTCACTTGATAAACTCCCATGGCTTTAAATACCATCTCTAAGCTGATGACACACAAATCTATCTATCTTTCTATCCCTCACCTCACCCCTTCAGTCTCCTCTCGCATTACTAACCTACTAAGCGACATATCGGCATGGATGTCAATCCACTTCCTCAAACTCAATCTTTGCAAAACTGAGCTCTTAGTATTCCCCCCAGCCCGTGCCCCCTCCCCTGACTTCTCCATCAAGATCAATATCACAATCATCATTCCCTCCCCTCATGCCAGGGTACTAGGTGTAATCCTAGACTCCCATCTGTCCTTTCAGCCCCAAATCCAATTGCTGTCCAAATCTTGTAGACTTCACCTCCGCAACATCTCCAAGATACGCCGTTCCTAACCTCGAAAAAAACCACTAAGCAACTCATTCACTCCCTTGTAACTCCCTCCTCATTGGCCTACCGAATCGCAGGCTATCCCCTCTTCAGTCTATCATGAATGCTGCTGCCAGACTTATCCACCTTACTAACCATTCTGTATCTGCCACCCCTCTCTGCCAATCCCTCCATTGGCTTCCCATTGCCCAACGGATAAAATTCAAACCATTAACAATAATGTATAAAGCCATTTTTAACTCTGCCCCAAATTACATCAATGATCTTGTCTCTAAATATCACCCAAACCATACTCTCCGCTCCTTGCAAGACCTCCTGCTCTCTAGCTCCCTTGTCTCCTCCTCCCATGCTCGTCTCCAGGACTTTTCCAGAGCTTCCCCCATCCTCTGGAACTTTCTACCCCAATTTATCAGACTATCGCCTACTCTGCTCACTTTTAGGCGATCTCTTCAGGGAAGCCTATCCTGCCCTCAGCTAATAATGGAATCTTCTACTCTTCCAAGCAGTCCATCCCCCACAGTTACTACCTTTTGTACCACTAGCCCCTCCCTCCAAGATTGTAAGCTCCAAGGAGCAGAGCCCTCCTTTCCCTCTTGTATTGAACTGTATTGTTGCTGTATTGTCTCCCGTTATATTGTAAAGCGTGAACAAACTGTTCGCGCTATATAAATCCTGTATAATAAAAATAATAATAATAATAATATGTGCTTCAGAATGACCGTTCGTACGAACATTTGTATGAAAATTTGTAAGAAAATTCTCAGTACATTCAACAGGTTAACGAACGTCGTTAGAATTCAGCATTTCATTTGCTTTTAACATTCACAAATCCACATACGCTGTTAGAAATTCATTCTTTTGAGAAAAAAAATTTCCATCCTGTTCCAAATTTTTTTGACCCCACTAATGAATTAAAAAATTTAACAAATATTCTAAAACAGTTTTGAACAAAATTCTTATAGTGTACAGCCAGCTTAAGTAGTCCCTCTATAACAAGTGCACCCTGTTATGTATTTATCTATGTGTCTCATGTCTCTTGTGCACAGAATTCCTCCTACTTAGAGCGGCCCGATCCAGACTTTCCAGTATGTTTTAACCAGACAGTCTTAGTGTGGATTCCTCTGATCTTCTTCTGGCTCTTCGCTCCATGGCAGCTGCTCAACTTCTGCAAACGGAGAAAAGTAAAATCCCATATCTCTAAACTGTACCTGGCCAAGCAGGTGAGACCCAGAGGCTGAAGGGGTTGCTTTGTGTTACTTCTTGGGGTTTAGATTGTCTTCTGTTCAGATTTCAGTGTATGCTTCATATACAAGTGGCATATTTTTTCAGTAGGAGAAAGTTCCTACAAAAAACATTGGATATTCAGAAGTGTCCTGGCCAATTTGAACATTAGTTGACATATCTGTGAAGGTTCTCATACTTGTGTAAAAACGGGCTCTATACAAGAGTTTTGGTTTTTTTAAGTCCAGTGTGCATGGACCCTTATCCAGGTCATGGTACAGCTCATAGTAGTCACATTCAGCTGGACTTGATCTGTAATGTTGAAGACACTTGAGATGCTTAGGCAGTTTCTTGGTTAACACACAAAAATTGCATTGGAGGGACTTGTCCTGACTCCCAGAAGAGCCTTTAAAATCAGGTAGAGATATATCCAAGATTATTCAGAACTCATTGACAGGTGCATTGTGGTGGCCCCTTACCCTTCGATTTTATTATCCATTTGGTATACGATTCAATCAAAATGATTTAATCCATAGACAATCGAATAGCCATAACTTTCCTTTCAATCAACTGACTTCATATGGATTAGATCCTATCAAACGGAGTTGGTCAGCAAGGGCAGAAAGTTATCATTTGTTTTCCATTGATCATCAGCACCAAGATACTTTGCAGAGATGCGATTGATAACTTATGGTTGTAAGTTATGATTGTATCTTAACCAGTGATCGAAATACACTTTCCACATGTGGCATATTGATTGAATAGGTTGTCGACTACAAATTGATTATTCCTATTGGAAGAGATCAATTGGAAAATAAATGAATCGTTTATTAAAATGTGTGTGTGGCCACCATTTGACCTGCAGTTGATCACTTTTGACCACTATTTTCCCTCCTGCATTTTACACACACATAATTGCATTGAAGGAGTGTGCCATGATGGCTTCCTGAAAAGCCCTGCAAGTCTGAAGCTGAATCAGAATTCTCCTTTCTGAAGTGAAAAACATAAACCTTAAACAAACCCGTCCAGGTGGATCTCAACACTCAAACCCCTCCACTTTGACCAGGTGCTGGTCCAATTCATCTTCCCAGCAGATACGTACCAAGAGTATGAAGGGTTCGTTGCACAGTCCAGCTGTGTGGTATATGCTTCATATTCTTGAAAAGGGTAAACCTTCACCAGACAGGTGAACATTCTTCAGATGGGATGGAGATATGAGCAAGTATATGATTGTGATATCAAACAGAATATTTTTTTGTCCTCTGATCTTCTTGTTTAAAGAACATTTCCAGTCATGGTATATTTTGACATAGTTAAGTTGATCCAGCTTGTACCAATGTAACTATGTACAGTATATACCATATCTGGCCAATGTCCTTGGAAGCTGGAAATCACTGTAGTAGACACCGCTACTCCAGTGTTCTCCACTTGCTTCTAGGTCCCATGCTGAGCTACCGGCCTGATGAATTGTGAACAAAGGAGGTTGGCTGCTTTGCATTGGTACCATTTAGAGAATGCTTTGCGTTTCCTGAATGAATGCAAAGTGTTCATTAATATGACGAGGTGGAGAGACAGGGCAATGACGTCAGGAGGAAATAGCTCAGATGCAAGCAAAAGCCTGTCGACATCTGCCTGAAGATTTTTCTTATACCTGTGACCTGGAATGGGTAAAATAAGCTTCTGAGTAGAGATGAGCGAATTATTCAAAAATTTGATTCGGCTGATTCGCCGAATTTGAGGAAGAAATTCGATTCGATGCGAATTTATTCGCTACGAATTCAACTTATAAAAAGGGTTTCTAGGCTTCAGAGAGCCTTTATATTAGTGCAGAACACTGTACCTTTAATTTAAATGCCCTTGGAGATGAGGAAGGAGAAGGAGAAGGATGAGAAGAAGGAGAAGGATGAGAAGAAGGAGAAGGAGA